AGAGAGAGAGAGAGAGAGAGAGAGAGAGAGAGAGAGAGAGGGGGGAGAGAGAGGGAGAGGGAAGGAGAGACGTGTATATAGATAGCAGTTAAGGGAGACCGAGGCTAAATGTTCCATATTTTAGAATTTCCAAGTTGCAATTTTTCAGAAAACTAATTGTGACTGACTGTGCAAATGTGATAGAGGCAGTCTTCTTCTGCGTGTCAATGTTTGTTATGATTCCGTTAAACGCATCTTTTGTGTTGTAATAACCAGAATACAAATATGTAACGTGGTCACCTTGCCCTGATACCACGAGGTCAGTTGCCCAGTAATGAGTAAGAAGACTACACATAAAGTATGTATCCTGCTTAGTAGTTCCAGAATCACCGCGAGAGGTTTCCATGGCTCTCCTGCATTTAATTATGGGCCAACTTTACCTCACCCGCCCATATGCTCGATTTCAATCATTTTATGAATAAAAATTGCATTTATTATCCGAAACAGCATGTAGTATACTTGCAAGAAACTTCATTCTAGCTAGTAACATGACGCTTAACTTTATCCACTCGCGATGGAAGATATTATACAAAATTTCGAGAGGCTCGGAAATTTGCTTTGCTACTTTAAAACAATTTTTTTAAATTTTTCAACAGTAATATTCTGGTTTTAGTGAAACTCAGAGGGAAAAGTATTTATGTTTTAAAAGGATGATTTCGCGATTTGGTATCCACTATTTTTCTCCAGATGAATATTAAAAAAAAGCAACATATTCCTAAAGTCATCTAAGCCCGACATTCCCTGCTTTTCATTGAAAGCAATTTTCATGAATATCTTTTCTATACCTCATAGTATGACTCCAGGAGAGAAAAACGAGCTGAATACAAAAGTTAGCCCTTCTTACGATCTCTCCTAAAAAGTGATGGTAAAATTATCTGAGTTATCCTGGTCGGCTATAAGAAGCCATCACACGTGCGAGGCACGCGCCTACTCGAGTTACGAAATAAATGGCGTAGACGTAAGTTTTCCCCGGGTCTTCAACGAGCCAGATGCACGATGCGTTCTTTTTCTCCTTTCTCGAAGGGCTTGATCGTCAGAAGCTTTACGTTGTTTTCGCTCGAAACGATACTAACGAATCCTCATCGAATTTACAAAGCGCAGTGAAGAGAAGAGAAAAGGAGGGCTTGATATTCGGATGAGGCAGAGAGGGCGGAAGAAGGGCGGAGGCACGGTAAGACGTTGAAAATCCTCTCGAGCAGCCGCCGAAGCCTCGACAATTTGTCGAGCCACGCAAAAATTCTCCATTTTACTAGCGCAACGAAAGCAAAGCGACAGTAATTATTGCTCGTCCAGGCTCAAGTGCTCTCGCGATCTTTCCTCTCCGTTTACGTCGCGCCATTGTTTCCCGGCAACTGCCTCACTCGTTACTCGAATCCGTTGAGTGGTTCTCGAGTGCGTGCATAATAATGTACGGTACGGCCGAGCGCGCTGCCGCGATATTTTATATGTAACGAAAAATAAAAAGGGAAAATTGGGGACAGATGGCTGGTTCGAAGGCAACGACGGTAGCGTATATTCCTCGTCGCGCGTCCTCGATCTTCAATCTCCACTGTCGGCGATCGATCATCCCAGTGGAAATATTTTCATCATTTTTCCCCTTCTTTTTTGAGCTCTCCTCGCCGGCGGCGATTCGCCTATCGCCCGGATCGAGGCGACGAGAAATAAGGAAACTCGGGCGATAAATGCCTCGGTCACTGGCGACAGTCCCGCCCGTTCTGCTGGATTCATCGCGGCGAGATCGTTAATCGCGTTACAAGTCGAAGGAGCGCGCGCTTCGATCCCTCGAATATCCCGCCACTCACCATTTTCCCTACTATGCGCCGCGTAATTCCCCCGCTGCCAGATTCGATTAGACGTTTTCCTTCCGCATAGGCGGGATTATGCGCGAGATCTCACCGGACGGGGTGGGGAAGAGTTGCTCTCACCGTCTCTGGATTTACCCCGATGCGGAAAGTTCCTCCGCAACCATCCTCTCCGCGGGATCTTCGTTTTCTTTTCGATTTTCCTCTTGAAATATGTATAATGTATATAACCGCTCGTCCGTTTCGAAAGCGGGAAACTTACCTGGACTCTCGCGGCCGTCGTCGCCCCCGATGCTGGCGGAGACTGACTTTTCTCTCCCGGTGTTTCTTTCCGGTTGCTTCTGAGATTTCATTTAAATTATAATCGCGAGCGCCATAGCGCGACGCCCTGACTGGAGCGGATTTAATTAATAGCGTCTACGGGGAGCGCGCGCTAAAAAAGGAAGGCTCCCCCTGCGGGTGGGAGAGAAGAAGTAGGAATGGAACCACCGTCTCGTCAGCTGGGATTTTGCGCGCCAACCGGGCAAGTTACGTTCAGGCAGGTTTACATCAAACAACGAAAATGAAGCGAATTCGCGATTAGTCGGCGATTCTTTCGGTATGCTTTCGCCGTCGGAGGGTAACGCCATTCGCGTATCTCCCGCCGTGATCACAGTGTATAGCTCGGTTAATTCATTTGCGTGCGATGCAATCTTGGTGTTTAAGGGTACTTCGAGAGAATCGCACGTCGTCCATGCTAATCCTTGTGCTCGTAGACGTTAGACTCTAGCGAGAAACTTAAAGTAAATGTGGCAATTCTTGCATGCGTGCACTGCGAAAAGAAATGTCTAA